GAGAGAGAGAGAGAGAGAGAGAGAGAGAGAGAGAGAGAGAGAGAGAGAGAGAGAGAGCGCGAGGGAGGGAGACAGTAACCTTTAAACTAGACTAGATTCAATTGTATTATTTGAGGATATAGTTCACAATTTAAATTCGGCCCTGTCCACATCTAGTACGTAAGCACACGTGAGCATAGAGTGCGATTATATATAACCAGGATGATTCAGACTAACAAACGCTAACACTAATAATTTAATATAATGCAGTATATAATATAATTTAATATAATTAATATAATGCAGAAAAATAATATCTCTGAACTAATACATCTCTAATATATCTGAACTCTGGTGAAGCTGGCAGCGACTGTGGATGCTGCAATGAGCAGAACTTGGCTCAAGTGATACCAAGCGGCGCCACTATCTATCATCGCAAACAGGCGCGTCGGAGCGCCGCTGCCATCTTTGATTTTCATCGGTATCGCGAACACCGTCGCTCCTCGTGGCGGTAACTTGTCCAGGTTCATCACATTTTCTATGATCGGTACGTTGGCACCGAGCAGAGTCATGTGCACCAGCTTCTCGTGAACGCCTTGTCCGTAGTCGCCGGACAGAGTGTCGACGCCGTAGAGTTTGATCGAGCGGGACTCCAGCAGGAAGGTGGCCGCCTTAGGATGAAGGCCGGGGAATCGCAGCAGCTTCCAGTCGCCCGTGTCCGTGCCTAGATACTGCCTGTCGTTTCCCCAGTACTTCTGCCAGCCCGTGTAGAGCAGGAAGATGCTGTCGGCACGTATGACGCCGTGACGGGACTCCCACAAGCGGATGTCCGTGACCGTACACTGGTAGTCTGGATTCTCGGCCGCCTTGTCGGACACGTCGATGACCACCGCGTCGCCGATGAGGTCATCCAGGGCAAGCTCGTCAATGCCCTTACGACCGAGGACGTTGTGGCGCGGTGCGTCGATGTGCGTACCCGTGTGCTCTCCCGTGCAGAAGTTATTCAATTCGGAGTATACGCCCAAGTCGTTAGTCGCCTTGTATCCCAGCGTTAGATTGTAGTGCGCCAGCCCCGGGTGCAATCCGAACGTCATGCCCTCGTTGGCGTACAGATGCGTCATGTCGATAATCTTGCTTTGCTTACATGCGGCATCTTGCGCCAAGAAACAGATGACAGTCAGCAAGTGTGCTTTCAAGATAGTCTTCATCGTGAACCAACTGCAAACATGACACATGATGCTAAAACACATAAATGACAGGGATCGTTCCCCAATGGGGTCGATAGAAATACAATAGGCACAACAAGGCGTCTAAACCTGCTGTCTGAATAACTAATAAGACAACGACAGAATCATGCACAGTAAATATGTAAGTCACAGAGACACAAACAAGTTCTAAGATATATCACAACGATAGCAATCATCACTGAAATACTGATGTGTACCGCCTATAGTCACACAATCCATAGCATCAGGATGATATAAGATAACTTTTATATCTACCTTGTCTACCTGACATGATAATATCACGAGGAACTAATATAAACGCATATAGCGGGTACCTTAGTATATAGCAAGCGAAAGCCGAACCCGATGGATAGTCTTAGTTTTCCTGCCGAGTGTGGAAAGTTAACAGACTGAGTGTGCTCGAAACATGTACCGTCACCGACGGCATTACGAAAACCAGTTTTACCACATATTTACGCGGTAAATATTTCAGAATCGCTTTAGTGCTCCCACCACGCGTGAGAGACATTAGTGAAGGGATAATCGCCTTTGCGACGAGGCTCACACAAAAAGAGACGGACATGAGATAGGTCTAAATTTTCATACAAGCTCTCAGTTGCACAGCACGCGGCGAAGAGAAAGTACGAAATACATGATTATGTCGTAAATTAGCCGATTACAGTATTCGATTCAATGCGGGAAGCGTCACGCTCTATAGGAGTTCGAGTAGGATTTTCAAGGGAAATTCCAGAACCTTAGCGTTTGAATGGAGGTATTATGTGTATTATCAACCAGAAGATAATAACGTATAGATTTACAACGATTTGACTTATAGGAATCTGAAATAGGAAATTAAGCAAAAATAGATTAGACGAGGCTGTCAATAATTCGATTAATCAATTAAAATACGAAACCATGTGGCTTGCGCGCGCAACATTGCCCCACGCATTCAAGTAACGAATCAACCCTGCACCGATATACGGGGATGATATCCGTTACAAATGATATGCTTTCCTTTGCAGGAAGAATGCTTCTGAAATTGGAAACTCAGACGTTGGAAACTTAGCTATAGAAATAACAGGATTAGAATTATGGCCGTGATAAGAACACAGCGACGGCGATATATGTCAAAACAAAAAGAATATTGATATGAATGTAATTGATCTGTGCTTTTATCTACGCGCAAATACAAAGTAAACAATGGTCAAGAAATATTCTCAAAGAGCCCCGCAGTTCTAGTTGCACATTCACTAATCAGTCAAGGTTGTCAAGCGAACAACAAACGCCCGCCGGCCGTACTGCTCTGACAAATGTTGCTACGACATTTGTAACTAACATCGTCGCGCCATCTACCGGGACGAAACATACAAACCAGACAAACGTACTTGTGCGCGTTACCAGAAATAGGTATTTAGAGTCTTGTGAATTTCTGATGTTCCGTATCTAGGTTATTATAAACAGAAGCTTATAATTAAGCAAAGCACGATTATCTACGCGTGACACAATTCCATACACAATTCGACAAGAAGTTACGTGAGACATGTGTGATGGAAATAAACCACGATTCGATCACCCCAAAAGTCATCCAAAAAGTTATTTGTTAGCAGTCTCGAAATTGTATCAGCTGTTACGCACGTACTTCAATTAGAGTTTACGGCGCTTGTCCGAACGCTGTCACGAATTGCCTATGATATTTTATATGGGTGGTCACCTTATAATTATTTAATTAAAGAAATACCTTTCAGATAGATTTATTCAGAAACATCTGACTCGTGATTTCAGTGAAAAAGCTGGACAATTTTTATTCATTTGGTGTTTGCAGCGTATTCCCGGACGCGGTACTGACGCACTATAATGACTTATTTAACACTATAATGACCTATGTTACACTATACGGACGGGCGACTCGTGTAGTTCTTTCGGTAAGGAATGCTGACCGAGCATTTGTAATTCATGCGCTCCATGATCTTAGCACAAAAGCACTCGTTTATTTATTCTAAATTTTCTAGCACATATCTGAGCTCGGTCTGCATGCGTGCGTGTTTGACCGCAAGTAAGCCGATATGAACTGTAGCAGTTACACGCTGCTTATAGGGTTAGACAGAAACGAGGAATATCAAAACTATCTACAATGACGCACGTGCGTTTGTGTTTCTTATATACATCTATAGTAGAAGAAAATGCTACCAGCTAAAATCACTATGAAGAAGTTTGAAGGTAATGCGATCGATATCAATGCGTCTTGCAAAACAAATTTTGGGACATGTTGTCCACACTCGGCAGCTCTTATACTTGTGTAAGTTGTGATCGGATGTTACGCCATAGTTACACAGTCTCTCGGTGGGTCACTCTGAAAGGTGACAGCTGTAAAGCTGTTGACGAAGCACGCGCCCATCAAGAAATAGCCATTATTAGTAATCCCGAAACAGAAGTATATATAACTGGGTTAATTGTAATTATAACAATTAACCCAGTTATATCCATTAGTCTACCAACCGAATGAACTTATTTAATGAGAAGTATATATGGTTTTAATTGCGACAGGTAAGAACTTTTACTGTTCTCAGTTTATAAACATGCTAATGCATTTGTAAATTAACTATAATAACACCAGTTAATAACTTTATTATCATAAATGATCTTCAGTGCGAAAAAAGTTTATTGTATTACGTCACTACCGCTAACCGTTGTCGCCTTTGTTGAGAATACGAATGCTGATTTACTTACAGGCTATGTGTAGAAAGCCTATCGCAGAACAATGCTTACAACGAACATAGTCTCCATGCTCATTAGCTTTGCATTTTACGCGTAGATAGTATCTTAAACTGCGAGTTGAAAGCCTTTTGAAAACAAACATCGTATATACGGCTTTGAGTGTTATTTACATGGTTAACGCTCACGAATTTTGTGCGGAGCTTGCTAACGTGTTCAACTGTACCGGCCTGTTTTATGGACTAGACTCATTATCATGACAAGAGTGTTCGCTCTTCGAAACTGTCCTAAATCAGTAGTCATTACAGAGTTATCGCGCTGTGACTTTTGTTAGCTAATCCTTTGCTATTGTGACAGCAACTTTATGGTCTGGCGCAGCATATAAGATTGATTATCTTTCGTGGGCTGTCTTTCCAGCACTCGTCATTGTGTGCGCGTCTCTCCGCGACTAGAGACCTATGAAAAACCAGTAGGCAGTTCGCCGTTGGTGGGATGTGAAAGAGTATGCATTTAGGCCAACAAAGCAGGCAGGATGTGGCAGGGGAGACCACATTTGTCGAACTGTCACGAGAATCATGATCGATGAGCTGTCCATGATTACAACTCGTTTAGACTCCATGTTTCACTAGCCTCGGACCACCCCCTGTTTTCCGCCACACCAGCGTCCTATATTGAACAACATGGGTCGAAATTGGTAGCAACTATGGCCTATCACGGCCATTTATATGCGATTCCACTGTATACATTCATATGCATGAGAACGACATAGACATAATGATGTGATGATTAGCAGTTGTCGTCCAGCTATTCACGACTGCGCGGATAGTTGTATTTAGTATGTCAGTCCGGTGGGCGGAGTTCACCGTAGTGCAATTATCGAATGCCAAGAACTTGCACTTTGCATTTAGAACTGTTATTAAATCATGGCGCCGCAGAGCAGAACTGAGACGGTATGGACACCGTTTTTTAAACATCAGTGAAAGACCGACTTAAATATAGTGTAGCCAACTGCGGCTACTCTAGGTGGATGGAACGGTATGGGCATGCGCATTAAAGCGTAGCACAAAGAATCTTGTCGCGGTTGCCCTTCCGGCTTTCTAGTCCGTATCACAGAAGCGACAAAGACAGGTGCTTTACACATTGCCATTTGATTTCAGTCGTTATTGAGAATTCAACTGATACTTAATGTTTTGCCTTATTCACCACACACACGCGCACACACACGCGCACACACACGTGCGCGCGTGTATGATGCGTGGTGTGGTGCGTGTGCGTGTGCGTGTACGTGTGCGTATGCGTGTGCGTGCGTGTGTGTGTGTGTGTGTGTGCGTGTGTGCGTGCGTGTGTGTGTGTGTGTGTGCATGCGTGCGTTCGTGCGCGTGCGTGCGTGCGGTCGTGCGTGCGCGTGCGTGCGTGCACGTGCGTGCGTGCGTGCGTGTGTATGTGTGTGTGTGTGTGTGAGAGTGTATGAGTGTATGTGTGTGTGTGTGTGTGTGTGTGTGTGTGTGTGTGTGTGTGTGTGTGTGTGTGTGTGTGTGTGTGTGTTCATCTCATGACGTCTGTTGTTGGCGCGTAATATTGCAAAAGTTGAATCTTTACTGTGTGCAAGTGTCTTGCGCACGAACCAAGCAACGATTGATGTATCGCGTACTAACAACACCGTATGTGTACACACTTGAAAATGGACCACAAGCGCCGTGTGCCCGAGGCACGCAACGCCACACCCGCAATCCTCACATTAGGCATAAATATTGTTTCCATTCGCTTCTTGTCGTTGGTGGGCGTCTTCTAAATTAGTGCTCGAAAGAAAATAACTGCGTTGACATTTGTAACGCAGATGTATAGAGCATTACGCATCACACGGTTGTCGCGGAGCTTATTCCGCGAGGAATGTTCGTCGCTGGCGGGAATCCGACGGCCTTATTACAGGTCATTGCTGTTCGCAATGCGGCGTAAAGGCTTACATCACATCTTCGCGCAGACGTAGACGAAGATCCTAATACTCATTGTAGCAGGCAAAAACAAGAATTCTTCGAGCATTTATCCGTCGGCTGTGGCCCCGCATCGAATAATGGCGAACGAAATAGCAGCCTGTGTCGGTACGTTTAAGGCTTAAATCATTTAGAGGTAGCAGTTGTTCGACATGCGCGCTCCACTTTGCTTGCCGGATAGTCGGCTACCTGCCTTATACGATTGTCTGAATGCAAATGATATGGCGTCGCAGACAGTGTAATTTTTGCTTAAGCATCAACGACGAACAGAAACAATCGCCGCCATTGAGGCCAACAGAAGTCGAAGTATTGTCGCTGCGCGGCCGGCAGGTGCGCTGATTGATATCACGCGCCCATCCACTATATGAAGCTTGTCACGGACGACGACGTCGTTACGCAGTACAATGACGTGCGACGTGGTCGCAAATACACGGGTTCAGATGACGACGATGCGCCCGACAAGTCATGATACTAATTAAGCTCTACTGTTTCCAAGAAGGCAATGCTGTTAGCGGCATGCAATTCAATGCGCGTACAGCTAGTGCAATATAAATAAATAAATAAATTAATTAAAATATAAGGGGCAGACATGCTACAACGTGTTGTGTGTGTGTGGTGTGTGTGTGTGTGTTTGTGTTGTGTGTGTGTGTGTGTCGCGAGCGTGCGTGCGTGCGTGCGTTCGCGCATGTGTGTGTGTGTG